CAGATATGGCAGTTTGGCTAAAGGACACTGGGGAAGTGAGCAAGAGAACCATGAGTGAATCACCAAGGGGCTGTTACAGGGACCCTTGTACAAGAGAGGAGTGCAAAGGGAGAGTGCCAGATGCTCCAGGTGCACAGGGAGCTCTGTAGCAAAGAGTATGGCATAAGGATCATCCTGTTGTGAAAGGATTGATCCATCAGTGGACAGTTGCACAGTGGCTGTGCTCTTTGAAGTAGTGGCTGGTAGACCCAAAACAGCACATGGTGAGCAACCAATTGGCCCACCAGCAGTACTGGCAGATTGTCTCATACCGCAAGCAACACTCCAAATGAGCACCTAGTAAGAGAGGCTCTTGGGTGGCTGAGACGTGCTGCAGTAGGAGAGGGTTGTTGGACACTTTCCTAGAGCTAAAGATCACTGCTTTGTTTTCAACTCAGCTGCAAACCCATGGTCAAAATGAACCTGTCTGCATCCTTTGTGTCTTCACTGCTTTCTCTGTAGATGTTAGGGACCTGATGTAGGGTCTCTGTGGTGGCACACCTGTAACCTAATCTTAGTTCTGATACCAAAAATAATGCAATGTCTCTGCTGTTAACTTTAGGCCAGTCTCCCTTTTGTATACATTCCACTGTTAAGCTTCTCTCTAGAGCCTCAATTAAAAACCTAAAAGACATCTTGTAATTAGTCAGTCTGCATATGCATTGGTTGAAGTGAAAATTTGACAGCTTTAAAAATGGAGTGGGGCACTGTCAGAGTCTATCGGCATTTCTGCCTTTGTCCTCATCTGGAGATTATTTTTATACAAAAGAGAATGTTTTCTGAAATGTATATTTATTCTTCTAAAACATAGCTTTCTTTTTTTCTGGAGTATCCAATCTTTACACCAACTTTGTTCTTTAGCACATTAATTACTTCAAAACACAAATCTTGTCTCATGTCTCAGAGGTTTCATGCATAACATACTCCTCTGGGATCTCTTCTGTGATGGATGGATAGCTAGGGAAAGCTCCCTCTGCATGGCAAGGCATAAAACTCCTCTTTTGAGGGCTCGCTTGGAGGAGTGAAAGAATAGCTTTGCCTCAGGGCAGGCTTGCTAGCACTGCTGTGCTCAGGTAAGTATAGTCACCACTAAGGGGCAGATGTTCCTGTCCTGCAGCCCAAACAGGCATGTCCTCTTCTGGATGATGACAACAGCTGTCTTTAATTGGAAGAGTGATGCAGGCTGTCCCGTGGCAGGATACATGCTAAAGCTACAGTAGCCTGCTATGAGTTGGGCATTTAACTCTGAAAAGCAGCATATTGCACTGTACCCTGCTTCCTGGTTCAATCTGTTTTGGTGGGTTGTCTCCAAATCATGATCTAAGAAAAGGAGCTAAGAATTAGGGCTGTGCCTGAAGAGCCTGATTAGGATGTTCTGGCTGGTTAAGTATGTGTACTGCTGTCTCCTCGTTTTACATCACAGCCTAATGGCCACTGCCAACAGAAATAAGTCTGAACATTACTGCAGTAAAGCAAATGGGCCATTTCCTTCTGGTCCTTCTTGTAGAGGTCTTTTTTGGAACTGAAGTTTCCACATAGCCCTTTGGCTGGCACAATAAACACTATGCAGATTCAGTACAGCCCGTAATCTCCATTATGACTTGAGATTTTTGCTGCCAAACAAAGTCTTCCAAGTGCACAACAACTTCAGGAAGCTCCTAAACTGAGGCAAAGGGCCCCCTCTTCATCTGTAGCTCTGCCAGCTAACCTATAGTAGTTTTAAAGCAACAGTCCCAGCAAAGGGGCTTCAGATATTAGAAGTTTTAAAAAAGTACCTGCTGCCTTCATCCTCAGCTTGTCTGCAGTTGAGCAGGGCCAACGTATAACCTTCTTTTTCTTCCTGCTTCTCATTTAAGATTTATGTCCATCTCAAGGAAGGAAGCGGTGCTGACGGGCTGGATGCTTTGAAGAACAAACCGCAGCTCCACAGTATGGTGGCCAAAAGCCTTTGTCAGAACGCGTCTGGAAAGAACTACATCATCTTCACTGGCCCTAGCATCACGAGCCTGAACCTCTTTGAAGAGTTTGAGAAGCAAGGTGTGTATCTGCTGACTCACTGGGTTTAATGCTGAAAGGCCTAGGAGCCTCCTGCTGCGGAATTCAAACAACTCCTGAAAGGCTTCTCTAGGAACAGGTCTCATTCCAGAAAAAATAATATGCAGAGGTCTTTTAAAGTTGAGTTTATATTCTGTGAATCTTCCAAATTCAGAATGGAGGTGTAAACCTATTTTAACAAGTGTATTTAAGGCTCTTGCTTTTGTTCTTTGCCTTAGAAATGTGAGGTCTATTCTTCTGCATGACCTGGGGGGCTTCTCAAAAGATCTTATGCCTGTAATTTTGGGGGCTAACTGTGAAAGATTAAGGACGGGATGAATCTTTAAAGATGTGCCTTAGAAATCTTTGGTTTAATATCTGTCTCACTAACAGTTATATGTCATTGAAAAAAAAAAACTTAGCATGGTTTTCTTTTTTTATATTTCATTTTATTTTTTATTTTATTTTATTTTATTTTTTGCTGCTGCAAGCATGGTTTGGTAGAGCAGTTAAGTTTGCAAAGCATAAACTCTACTCCAGCAAAAGTACTCTTGCAAGTACAATGACCTTTAATGTGCCAGTATGGCTGTATCAGCCAGCTTCTTGCTAGTGCTCAGAGTAAGCCCAGGACATTCTCTCTATCAAAAACTCATGGAGCACAGTGAAATATTGCCATACTCTAACAAAAGCAGTCATGGTTTACAAAACTGTGCAACCAGCCATGTGGGAAAGAGCTCAGGCATATTTATACTTCACTGGTGTTTTTGCTCTGATAGGAAACTATTCTTTAGCAAATGATTTCATGACCGACTATAGCTATTACATTTAAAGCTACCAAAGCTATGATGCTGATCACAAATGTCAAATGTCTGATCACAAAACATATTCCCAGTACTTAAGGTGCTTCAGATTTAAAAATAAAGACTGTCAAACAAAACAAAAAAAAGATTCTTCTTAGTCACACCTTTTCTGCTCATCTGTGGAAGGAGAAAGACAATAAGTCCTGACTCAGGTGGTCTGTAACCACAGGGAAAAAGGTGCAGGGCTACTGAACCACATGAATGCTTGTTGCTTACAGGTTTGTAACAGATTGCTTGCAGACAGATTGTTTACAGCTGTAAACTGTTTGTAGGCTTTACACTGAAGAGATTTTAGTTTCATTCTTATTTTCTTATATGGCTTCATGACATTTTTAATGATATTTGAAAGCTGTTTCCAAAACGAAATTTCTGATCTGATACATACCATCACTTCTCCTAAATTTGAGACTAGGAGAGAGATGGACTAAGCATAGTTACTGGCATTTGCAAGACAGCTTAGAAGAAGATTACAGGGAGATCCAGAAAGCAGTGTTTCTGTTCAATAAGGACATGACATTGTTTGCATTTGCCACCGAGAGCCAATTCACTGTTTTGGAAAGGGAATGTTGAACTGGAAGGACTATGAGATAGTGGGAGAGACTGGGTGCTAGAGAAGACAGGTGGTGGTAAAATCAGTAAGAGCACTAGAGGCATTGATGCATATTGACTGTATTGCAAAGCAGGTAATGTGCACCCAGTGCCTGCTGGGATCTCACTGCATTGGCTGCACAGTTTGGGCAAGACCTACAGAGAAGCCTGGACTCTCCTGGTGAGAGATCCCTCCTGTATCACAGCCACCCTCAGCGATGGCCTTGCTGTCCTTTTAGTGTGCGGATGTCGAAGACAGCATTTATGCTTGAGTGCTCATGGCAGCTCAGGCCCTGTTCTTAAAGTGTCAAATTAACCTTTCTTTTTCGAGAAAAAATAATTTCTGGGTTAGAGCTGGATCAGTGTAGAATGGGAAAGATTCCATTGAGAGCGGAAGGCAAAAAGAAATTGGTGTTCATCTTAACTCCATTATGTTTATTTCTTGACACTCTTGGCAAAGGGAGAGATTTAAATTCGCTAATTTTGAGAAACTATTAATTACTTGGGCACCTAAATTGGTATTTAAGGAAACCAAAAGGGATTTAAGAAAATGCAGAAAAACCAAAGAGAATGTAGACCACTCTCTTTGCAGTTGTCCTTGGTGGAAGTATGAGAAGCAACAGGAGTAGCTGGATGCAAGAGAGAATCGGAGTAAAAGGAAAAATCTTCATCAAGGAGAGTCAAGGGATGGAACAAGTTGCCCAGAAAGGTCATTCAGTCTCATCTCCTGAAAGTTTTCAAGACCCAACAGGATAAAGTCCTGAGCAATCTGATCAGACCTCACAGATGATCTGCTTTGAGCAGGACATTGGACTAGAGATTTCCTGTCCCTTCCAGACTGACAATTATCTTATAATCTTATGATCCTATGAACATTTTTGTGGAACCATAGCTATCATTTCTTTTCCCTAGCCCACACCTGTGTTACTGCAAAAATGCAGTGTTCTCTTTTTTTTGAAACCTCCCGTGTAGCACCTTCACTGTATTACAATAAAGCGTGTGTCTAGAAATATAAAAGGATATAGTGAACATAATTCTCAGGTCTTTGAAAATACCTAGAGCTGAGAAAACTTCAGAAAATAAAACTGGGCACTTTGATCTTTTTAAAAATCAAAAGCCTGAATAAATCTCTCTCTTTTTTTTTTTTTTTCTTTCCAGGGGACATATAAAGCATTTCTTTTTCTGGTCTCTGAATAGAACTGGAAACCAGCACTGAAATGCCCCAAATTATCTGTTCAGCAAGCAGAGACTGTCACTGTTATTAGCTGGAACACTCATTCGTAGTGTGCTTTCCTTTTTCCCCTTCTAAGTAAGAGTGTTGTCTTTTATAGAGGACACCACTGCCCAAAGCCCTTTGCCTTATGTTCCCCTTAAAAGTATGACCTCTCTCAAAGATCCTGTTGTGTATTTTCTGTGTCAGCAGGAGCAGCAGGCTCAGTCCTGCAGAAGAGCTGGGGTGAGCACAAACTACATGTCATCAGGCAGAAATCACAAGTTCATACCATGGTCACCCCCTACTCACACAACCTTCCTAGTATCTTGCAACTCCAGTACATGGGGAAAAAAAAAGAGAGAAAAAAGAAAAGAAAAACATCTCTTGTCCATGATGGCCCTCACAGTTGCCCTAACTTTGACTCAAACCACTGTTGCACTCAGAATCCGGATATATGGTTGTAGAATTTGTATCTTTGCCTGAATTACTTTGAGTCTCACTGCCTTTGCAAATGGTACTAATGAAGCTGCGGTGAAACAAGCTTCAGCACAAGCTTTCCAGGTTGTAGAGACCCCAGAAAGGAACTCAAGTGACCAGGCCACACTTGTCATCTTGCTTTTGTTACTGCCCAGCCTACCTTAGAAGACCAGATGAGGACACTGGCTCCACTGACTTCAGCATATCTGGCAAGCACCTGTTGTGGTCCAGCTTTCATTATATGCAAACACTTAATTGAGCCAGATGGGCTTAATTTTTATTACTTTTATTACTATAGTAACTGGATGTTTTTTAAAATCTCTATAAATAAAGTGTCATCCATGATGAGAGATGTTAATAAATTTTCAGAACTGTTGGGTCTTTTGAGGATAAGTAGCAGGGAGGTTATACCATGTTCCTGAGAGAGGACATGGTTCCCTATATTCTGTAGGAGTGAAAAAGCATCTGCTGCAGTCTTTCTGTGGACTTGCTGCCTGAGATAAAGGAAAGGCTGAAACAAATTACAAAGGGGTCTTGGAGAAGCCTGTTGCTGTTCTGAAGTTCCAGTGCAGTAATGTAGTTGTTAGCTTGGTTTTATACCATTGTATGTAACTGGTAACCCCAAGAACACAGGTAAATGCTTTGGTGAAATCTGTAAGTATAATCTGACTTAGTGTTTCTCCTCAAAAGATGATAGTTCATCTCATGTGCACAATTCATTATGATGAAAAATCTGGTCAAGTACCAACAGACTGGCTTTAAACTACCACAGATCTCAGCTGCCATGTGAATGCCATGCACAGATGTCATCTGCTTCCATGCCCATGTATTCTCTCCACTGGGGTAGGTTAATGTAAAACCAAGAGAGAACAGAAAATTTCTGTCTAAGTTTTCCTTGAGATTGATAATTTCTTCAGGAAGATTTGCTTTCCTTGGGCTAACAGAAGTAGACCATTATTATTTCATGGCCTAATGACAAGTTCCATCGTTGGCAATTAGTAACAATTAAAAACTCCAATAATGTGTATGTTTTCACCTTGCTGCATTGAGTTGTGTTTTGTTGTGTCTTTTATATATGAAAAAGCAAAGAAGCCCTGAGCAGTAGAGTGTGTGTGGCCTGGTCTCCTGTATGCAGAGCCTCTAGTGTATGTGCAGCAGATCTTTGTATCATTGTTCCTTCCACAAGGACACTGATTTAGTTTATTCCATTTCCCCAAAATCTGTTTTTCTTGAACTTGTAAGAACTTTGTGTTTTCATCATCTCCATCCTTCTGGCACATGGATTTTTTAAATCTGCCACTAGTTCCAGTATTCAATTGTGTAAGCATCCTTTTCTTTAGAAGTCAGATATTGCAGGACACAAATCTTAGGTATTGTAGGAAAAGCCAAGTTGGCCCGCAGATGCATTGAACTAGAACAATTTAAGAAAGATAGTTCTTTCTCTAGCCCTGTGAGCCAGTCTTGCCCTGCTCCCCTTGCTATCTATACCCATAGAATGACTTGCTGATGGGGAATGTTTCTTTCTTCACCTACAGAGATTTACTGCTGCGGGTTGCTGAGTGCCAGGAAAAGTGACTGCACAGGCCTACCTCCAACCATGCTGAACAACCCTGAAACTCCCCAGTCCAGAGGACAGTACAGAATAAAAATGAAGGGAAACATGTCCTTGATCTGCTGGTACAATAAAGGGCACTTCCGTTTTCTGACTAACGCCTATTCCCCGGTTCAACAAGGTAAGCAATATTCCTACTGCTCATCTGGAAAGTGCACATGCTTTAAGTGACAAGGCAAGCTGAGTCACTGAGTTTGATAATAAGCCTGAACAAAGAGCTTGATCATAATATCCTGGATAAATGGTAGCAGTGGTGATCACTTCCGTTTTCATGTCGTCCTACAGCGATTATTTTTTCCCACACAGAAGTTAGTTAGAAGCTTACTGCTAACGCAGCCCCTTTGCTTAGGCTGGTAGAGGCTGTGTCCTTTCAAGTATCAAGATTATGTCTTTGCTGATGGTCAGAGAAGGGAAGAAGGCTGTTACTGTATAGCGCTGTACTAGCCACATTTGCAAAGTGTCTTGTAGGATTGCTGCTACAGAAATATTAATAGATGTCATAACGTACTTAGAAGTCTGAGCAGATCCTACAATTAATTTATCTTATCCAGTAAAAACCTAGTCACAAGCAAATGTCGTTTTGCCAAAAGTAAATATGATTAAGACTTCCTGTTGTATGTTAAATTGATTTTAGCAATTGATGAAAAGGAACCAAAACAGATAAGTCAGATAATGAGTATTGGAGAGAGCTTCATGATGACTCAAATCTTTTCCTTTTCAAAATAATATAAATGTTTTTAAGAAGGTATAGAAACCTCTGTAAGATCCAGTATGACTAATGAACTCTTTGAAACTTATCTTTCGGTGAAAATGTCACTTTAGTTTCTCCTCTTTGCTATTATTCAGAGAGAAAGATCCATGAAAGCATGTATTGTTTGAAAATGTCTAGAAAAAATATTCAAGACTAACCCAAACCTTTATATGTCAAGCTACCAATTCAAATGCATCTTATTTGCTTATGTTCCAAGTCCCACGTGACTCCCACATATGCATATAGGCTAAGGGAGCAAAGCTGGGAGCTTGATTTGAACTTGGTAACATGGCGGGACCGGGGTTTGAGCATCAACTTTGAAAATGCCTAAATGAAGAAAAAAAACAACACTTCAGTGATCCTGCTGCGGCCAGCACCTGATGCAGTGTTACTACATGGTTGTAGTCTCAGACTAGGTTATGGGGAGCGTTCCAGTTCTGCTTGCTAACAAGACCTTCTGCTAAGAGGAACTTAAACCTGAGGCACTAATGATGAGGATTTGTGTTGTTTCTCATGTGCAATTTTGCCAAGTGTAGACTATTCAGCTGCAATGAATGGACCAGAGGTGTGATAGCATGTGTCATGCTATCACAAAGCTGTTGCCTTTGGGTGTAATTCATAAACACTGCTTAAAAAGCAGTTAGAAAAATATATCTTATGTAAACATTACTGTTAACTACCACTTTAAAATATTGGCCAAAAACAGATTTGGAAATGAATGTGGCTGACAGTCTCCTTTACAAGTAGTACATGGGGGTGTGAAGTTTTGTGCTTTTGAATGACCTTGGCCTTGTCTTAGAATCAACAGGATTGTATGTTGTGTATGAGAGGTAACTCAAGGCCCACCAGTTGGGGCCCATGTGTGTGGTGAGCAAGGCTGGTCCAATACATTGCTCACCAAGTACTGCCTGGGACAGTTGACATAGCTCAGAGTGAATCAGAGCAGAAAACTGACACTGGCTTTGTAGAGAGTTGCACTGGCGGGAAATGAAGATCTGAGAACAGATGGAGGCTCAGTAGGAAGATAGGAGACCAGATTGCCTGCCTCTAATTTGGCGTCTCTGAAATCAGTGCAGCATGACAGTTTAAGCCAACTTGAAGCTTGACCACCAAAGTCTCCTCCAAGTGATACAGAGAAGGAGGAAAAGGAGGAATTGGTGCTCTTTCTTTGAGGCAAGTTTGTAGCACAAACAGGCTGTATATGTTAAATGGGAGAGGAAGTAGGGATGAACTGGAATAAAACCCACACAAGGTATTTGGACAAGGACCGGTGTCAGTGGGATTGTTAGACACCGAATTGCTATGTTGACTGTAAGTGATAAAAGGAGTAGAGGAAGCCTTGAAGAAAGGACCTACACAAAATTAAGGCGAGAGAAGTTCAAGACAAGAGTTAAGGTGAGAACAGAGGTGGCTTTAATAAGTAACGGGTGAGTTATTGCAAAGGAAAATGGAGAAGGTAAATCTTGCATGTACCTTGAGTGCACCCAAGCTAGAGACACCAGGAGGGCAGTGCACTTGTCAGGGAAGGTCCATGAATACTATTCTTATATGCAGCATGTTATTTATTATGGATGTTTTGAACCAGTGTGTCATAATACATCATCTAGTATGCTAAGGGATAAGCCTTATTTATTTAGTCTAGGAAAAATAAGTAAATTGCTTACTCTACTATTAAATATGAAGCTTTTTTTTTTTTTTTGTAGTCTTTAATTTCCTTTAAGTAGTACCTGGAGTTGAATTTTCCCTTGTGCCTCTACTATAGAGGTACTGAGAAGCCATAAGAGATGTGGACCTCGAGATATTATTTGAAAAAAATAAAAAGGCCTTTATTCTAAAGCAGGTGATAGCTGGTCCGGTTGGGACATCATAACTGCATCTTGTTTTTCCACTCTAGATATGGAGCTTGCATTCCATCCATTTCCAGGACTTTGTTCTACACATAATTGCAGTCTTTTCTACTTTTTGCACAAGAACACTGGAGAGGGCAGACATCTTACCTGGGGAAACTTGGGAAATCCTGGACCTTCCTGATTGCAGTAGGGAGCTCGGGTATCTCAGGGCCTCTGGTGCTGGGGAACCGGGGTCCTGATTGCCAAGCAGTGTTCCCAGCCCAGCACAAGACCTGGAAATCGCATGTAGGCAGCCTGCAGACCTGGAAGCAGAGGTTCCTCTGCTGCTGTGAGGGAGCTGGGCTGCTTTCTTCCAAACCTGTTAGACTTCAACAAAAACTTGCTGTAAACGGGATCTTTGTGAGAAGCAGCCAAGCTTTCGCACATTCTCTTCACCAACCAGATCTACCTGAAAGCTAAATGGGCAATGACTAAGGATAGGAAAGTAAGCTTGGGCCAGGTAAGCAGGGGGTACGGCCTAAAGAGCTGGAAACGACAGGTTGGCATCCCATGGGCAAGTTGTGGTGGTAGAAGGTGGAGGTAGGTTTGACCCTTGTTAGGGGTACAGACTGTACAGACAAAGTGAGGCCAGAGAGGAGCATGGAGAGTAGCTGGAGAGGAGATACTGGTAAAGACGAGAACACCTATAGCCAAAAAAGAGACTGAGGAGTGAGCTGCACAAACAGCCTCCTGACATGGCCTGTGTCTGAGGCTGCAGCTTCCCAAGGGAGCTCCAGTCAGCTCTCCCTGCTGCCTGTGCTGTTCCTCCCCGGGCGCCCCTCAGAGACCGTGCAGCTGGAACAAGAAAGATGGAAAATGTTGTGGAGACACCGCAGTTGTCTAAACCAGTTGTGTAAGTCCCTGTGTGTTCTCAGCCAGGAAAAGCTGGAGCAAGGATTGTCGGCCTGGCAAACTAGTTTCCTGAAAAATTATAACATAGGCCTGGAATTGGGAAGTCTTGGGAAAGAGGAATAGCATTAAAAAAAAAAATCAGAGAAGGTTAAAAATACACACAAAGCTGCTTAGGATTTTGACCTTAACTTTCCCTATGTCCTTTTGAGAATGTATTCAGGGTGTCGTGTCCAAGTATGGTGAGAGTGGGGATGGGCTACTGGGGGCTCTCATGTGAAGGCTTTGAGTGTTAGTCCTCGTGCAGTCCTAGCTGTCTGCAATTCTGATACAGAGCTGTGGCAAATAGAAGTCCTGAAAAATAGCTGTACAATATTTGGAATGTGCAGTGCCCCCTCTTTTTTTTATATATATTACATTACAAAATGTCAGAGCCTGCCAAGGTGGATGCAAATGCTAATTTTTTTACTGAGCCTTCATTTTAGAAAGCCATGATTTTAGCTCTGAAAATCATGGATTGTTGTAAAACAAGTATTTATGGAAACAAACAAGTATATGCCTTTGTCTGCCTGCTTACCTCACTTGCAGACATACATCCTAAGCCTTGCTTGACAAGCATATAGGCTAGAAACACAGAAACAGCCTCCCACAGTCTGAGCTAATCACCTCAGTGCCAGCACGGAGACTTTAAAGGCAAAACAGACGCCCTGGAGCTGCCGCCTTCCGCAGGGAAAGGCGGCCAGGGCTGCAGGCGGGCGCTGTGTCACCCTGGAGCTGCCACGGGGAGATGCTGGGGAGCACCGCGAGGGGAGGCAGCTCGGGGGACGCGCTGCGAGTCCCCGTGCTGGGGAGCGCCTGCCGCAGAGCCCTGCATGGGCACGAGCCGCTCCGGAGGCGCCCCAGGGAAGGCCGTAAAAATAGTGTGCACAAAAAGCTATTTATGTTCCCCGAACAACAGAGTGTTAGGTGGGATATAGCAGAAAATGAGAGGGAGTGTGTGGTGCACACATAGCTGCTATCAACTGCATTTTAAAGGACTGTAATTAGAAAACAAAATAAATTTAAATTGTCTAAAGGAGGAGGGCAGGGAGAAGAGAGACCAGGAGATTCGTTATAAAGCCCTGGCACCAGGAACATAGGCCCCCTTCCCTGACCTGCCCAGGTGGGATGGGAAGTGTTTTCTGCAGCACCAGGGCAACATGCTGATGCCGATCAATCCTCTTTCCTCATGCTGCTGACTAGGTGTTTTTAGAAGTGTGTCAATAAAGGGATCAAAAGATAATAAAAAAAGGAAGTCCATAACAAGTAAGCATGTGAAGGTTTTAAAAGTTTAAAAGATTTATGTATTCAATTTTGTTTTCAACTGTGCTTTCTCCTCCCCTTGGGCTACATTTACACCCGATTTGAGGGCTACATAGGTGAAGGGAGAGAGGTGGAAAATGTAGAGGTGAGATCTTTTTTGGACTCATGAAAAAAATCTGACTTTAAAGAACCCAAATAAATTGCTGCATGGCTCTGATGAACAGGGCATTTAGTATGTGTCATATGTCTCACTTCAAAACAGAGCCTGCCAGCCAGGGCAGCACGGGGGGCTTGACAGAGATGATGGATGGAATGAGACTTCCAGCTGAAGGAATGAATGGTGAAGTCTGTAATCAAAATGTGAGGTGCATTTTAGCGAAAGCGTCGGCAGAAGCAAGGCGAGGGGCAAGTTTGAAGGCTTGAGAAGTCAGAAAGCCCAGAATTGTGTTTGTGCTGCAGCAACATGGAGGAAGGATCCAGCGAAACTTATGCTTTTTTAAACCTGCAGAAAAATATTGTTCTGCAGAAGGTGGTGGGGCCGGGGGGAAGTAGGGATCCTCACTAGGCGCTGCAGACCGGGAGCAAGAGACAGGCCGTAGCCTGCAGAGCTAACCAGCAAACCCTGCAGGGAGATGAAGCCAAAAGTTAGGGAGTTGTTTAATAAAGCACCACAGGTTGGCTCTGTCCGTCCTTCCCTCCTGCAAGCAGCTTCCCCCTTGATGAGGAAAGCATGAAGGAGAGGAAGAACAAACCAGAGAAGACCTAAGGGGACAGGCTGCTGTTAACAGCTATGCTGGGGGGATCAGAGAGGAAGATGAGAGAAGGCAAACGTGTTTGTTGGAGTGCTGACATAACTGCTGTCTCTTGGGAGAGCAATTGGCTCATATTTACTGCTGTAGTGTTGGAGAAGGCTGGAGCAAAAAAAGCACCATACGTGGGAAATGGACCTGTCCTAGATGGACCTGGTCCAAGCACTGCATTATTTTCAATGCTAAGACTATTTGGTCTGCAGCTGCAGGTGAGTTTTTGTCCTTCTGCAGTAGATAGGACTGTCATCCACCTCAAATGAGCTGCAGTCTAGCCATCTGACTAGTAGACAAGTTGTACTGGTGCAAAATTCATTCTGTAAAGAAATAAAAAGGCTCACATATTGACTGTTAGAAGTGGAGTTAGAGAAAGAGTCCAAAAATATAGACCTTTAATTGGCTTTTTTCCATTCAGCAGCAGTGGTGCAATCACTTTAACAGAAGTACTGCACACCTGGGAACCAGCCCAGCAGAAAAGCAAACAAGTTACAACCAGCACAACTGGTCCAAGAAGCAAAAATCATGCCGATAGGCAGAGGCTGCTGCTATTGCACACTTGAACCCAAGCTGTTCTTTGGAGTATCTTTTAATACTAAACTTATCACGTGGATTTTAAACTGTTATGCTTTTAATTGATGCAGGAGTTATAATTAAGAGAAAAAGTGGAGAAATTCCATGCCCATTGGCAGTTGAAGCATTTGCTGCTCACCTTAGCTATATCTGCAAATACGACGACAAATACAGCAAGTAAGTGCCTGAATGCATGTGAGTCTTTCATTTCTTCCCTGGGGCGTGTTTGAGGTTCTCCGGGTTGAGCTGCAGCTGAGGGCCCAGTCCTGTCCTCACTGAATTAATCTCTAAAAAAACTCCTGTTTAAATCAAAGCTCAGAAGCTGGCTCTGCAAAAGGAAGAGAGGTGCATTGCTAGCCATACTGCAGAGAATCTGTGTAGGAGTGAAGAGATGAATGAGTGGTTCTCATTAAGCACATTGCATATTTTTACCCTCTGCCTCTTACCTTCTGCATAATCTCTTAAACTGTGCTAGTGTTGTTTTGGATCTCCCTGCCACCAGTCCAAAACAACAACAACGAAGAAAAACAAAACAAACCACAGATTAGACCTGTGTTTTAAGCATTTTGTAAATGGCTTGTAAGAAGAATTGGAAAGATGAATCAGCAGGCCAGTGTCCTTGTCCATATCAAATTCGAGTCTAAATCGAGATTTCAGCAAGGGTTTACCAGCCCCACAAGTTTTTCAGGCTACCTCAAAAACTTGAGAGTTTTTTACTGTCCTTATAGAAGGAGATGATGTTTGGTTGATTATGTGTCCAAGTGATATTTGTGCCTCCTTGAATCGGAAGATAAGGATGTTCAGTTTTGGATGTCATGCTGATATAGATGAACTGTGAAAGCAGAATCTTTTGCCTCGTAGATCCAGTTGGGAGTCCTCATTATTAACTCTTAATATAGCAGAGAGAAGTGAAAACAAGTAAGAACAGGCATGAGGAAGGCATGGATGTGGAAATAGCATTGAAGTGCAGAAGATTTCAAGAGCTAAAAACAGAAGAGATGGACAAAGCAGTAGGGATTCTCTAAGTCAGCTCTGAGTAAAGCAGCAAGAATTCAGTAGGGGAAGAAATGAAGGAGGAGGCAGTTACTGGAGACCAATGTTGGGGATCTGATCTGAAAAAATACAGAAAGAAAGATGACGTAGTAGAATTAAGTTTAAAAACTGAAAGTAGAAAAGTGGAAAATCATATGACTGAGGAGAAGATTCTGGCTGTCCTAGAATTAGTCAGAACCTAAATATAAAGTTGTCAGTCCTTCCTAGATCTTCTGCCTTATGGAGAGTTGCTCCACATACCAGCACTGCACGCTCTAGCTCTGCCCCCACATCCTCCCACTCACTGTTGACAATAGCAGAAATCGGGTTTTTTTGCCTGCAAAAGAGAGAAATGCAAGGAGAAGCAGTCTTCCCAAAATTGTAACCTAATGGATTTTTTTTTTAACTTACAATCTGAAGAAATGTAGATCCACAGCTCCCATCGTTCGGGTGTTTGTCACTCTTGCTTACATGAAGTGATACAGAGATAACACTGTTGATGAGGTTTTGATTATAAGAACAAGAGAGTGTTCTCAGAAGTTTCCAAAAATGAAGAGAGAGATAACCATAAGCAACTGTCACAGATGTTGTACAGAACTCCTGCAGATAATACTTGCATAGGTCAGAAAGTCTTGGGCTTGCTTCCTCTTTGGGACTGCAGAATCTTTGTGGGTTATTTCTTGCCTCTCATGTAAAAGTCTTTGACTTGAATGCTTTCACCCTCATCTCTTTCCTTCTTGTCTCAACAGGTATTTCATTTCTCATAAACCAAACAAGACCTGGCAACAAGTGTTCTGGTTTGCCATCAGCATTGCTATAAACAATGCCTACATCCTCTACAAAATGTCAGAGGCCTATCACGTCACGAGGTACAGCCGTGCACAGTTCGGTGAAAGACTTGTGAAGGAGCTCCTGGGCTTGGAAGACACCTCCCCTTCCCATTGACCCGTTGCTCACTGTGGCACACGCAGGGGATGGAGGGTAAGCGGAGGAAAATACCACATCTGGAATGGCAAAGCAAGGAACTTGTGACACCACCAGTGCTGTCCTTGTCCAAAAATGCTAAGTGACGTCACTAGAGAGGTGGAGACTGTTCCTAGTAGCAGCTAGATGTAAACATGTCCTACGGAAAGTGCCACAAGAAAAGCTGACAGAAAATTGCATATGTGAATGCCCTGTGGGTATCTGTACACCAGAAAAGGACTTATTAAATCAGTCGTTTCTCAGTACTATTTGTTGAACAGGGTCATCTTGTAAAGTTCCTCCTGGGCTAAGAGCGTGTACTACGCTGACATAGCTCAAAAGTCCCGGGTGGGCATTACAGAAAACGCTGTATGTTAGTTTGCAGGCCTCAACTCAACTCTGGGACGAGCGGTGCAAGTCTGTACTGTGGGCTGTGGTCGAGAGCACCTACCACCTTGTAAGGAATCCTTGCTGTCCTCACAATGTGCTGAAAGAATCAGTTCAGATTTACAAACACTTACAAGCAACCGTCTTGACAAACAAAGCTTTCAAAGGCAGGTAGCCAAGAACAAATAATTGGTAAAGACTTTTTTTTAAAATTAATGTAAGGCAATTAGATCCCAGTTAGAACAGAAAAAAATAAGAGAATACGAATACTTTGGTGAATTCAAATGTGAAAACCTATTTTTTTTAATGTGATGTGACTTATTTTATACACAAATAGTGAGTAAAGTAATACTGCCTTGCATCTTAACTTCCACAGTTAGCATACAGATGAGAAGTCAGAATATAACAATTATATTTTTTTCTTGATTTCAGCTGTATCTTAAATGTTGCTTAAAATATAATGTAATGGACTGTTAAGCTTTTTATGACCGACTTTCTTTTTCTTTTGTAAATGTCAAGACTTTTTTGGTTCATTTTAGAACTTCATCTGGCGCACAGTTGGAATGAAGAAAACAAGTCACTGATAGCAGTGTGTTTTGCATTAGCACGGCAGGGTTTTCTGTAGGAATTCTTCCCATTGGAATTCAAGACTTGTCACAGTAGTTGTAATTTTGCAGATCAGATATTTACCAAAATTACATAGGTGTTTTGTTTTACAAAAAGAAAGAAGTCCAGGTGCAATCAGATGTTAAACCTCACTGAAACACGGCAAACAGGACAGGTTGCCTGTCCTGAGGAACACTGCAGAGGACGAGCATTGTCACAAGCCGGTGCCCATGGCTGACACTCCATGGACGGGTGGTCTTGGTGGAATCGGGAGGCCGCCCGCCCGCTCTTGGGAACGCCAGGGATAGAGAGGGACGATTGGAACAGGCAGGAACTGACAGGGAGGTGAAGCAGTGCCCTTCCCTCTGCACTTCATTGGTTTGCAGCCCTCAGCTCCATCAACAGAAAAAACCTCTATATTTAGAGGTTAGCAGTGATGGAAACAAACTGAATTGCATTAGCTTACAGGGCACAAACTACATAGCTACTTTTTGTTGACAGCTTGGACCCACTCTGCTAAAAACATAGCCCTTGCTCTGCATGATGCAGGGTCAGGTTTTGACAGGGTGGATCTGTCTGTCTGGGCTTAAAGGGCCTGATTTATTTTAGTTCCGCAAGTTGGCATTTACTGCAGCTGTTTGATAGAACGGGCTACTTCAAGAGGAGTGCAGTGACTGATTTATTTCATATCAGTATAAGCCTCACCTGACTATATGTATCTTTCTGGCAAAAGGCAGTAGAAGGCAACACACTTGGCCATGAGGCTCTCCTGCTTTCTGGACTCGGGCTGGCAGGTAGGCCATGGCCTTGTGCACATGCACACGGGTAAGTGGCTACAGGGCAGTGCCAGTCCCTGGCAATGCCAGGAGCCCCAGGAGGAGGTCAGGGCTCCTTGTCCCTGCGCGGAGCTGAGGTCACTCCCTGCTCAGGCTGAACATCAAGGCAGCTAGTTCTTAGCAGCCCTGTTTATTCAAAGGCAAAGAGGGCCTAGAGTGAGGCATGGGAAAAATAATTAAAAATAAATAAGTAAATAAGGTCAGCAATATCCAGCCAGCATTCTCCTTTCTTAGGAAGTGCCACCCGGTGGAGGCTGAGTGCAGGTGGGAGTCCTTATCTTGGGCTCTCTGCTCCAGACGGTGAGGGAGAGTAGTTACAACTTCATTATGTCCTGTAAGTTAAGAGGGGAGTCAAAATTAGGGCAGTGAGGAAAGGCCTGCCTGGAACATGGGTATAGCAAGAGCCGGCATGAACAGCAGCTGCAAGGACTGGGTGCAGCTTCATCACGATGCCCTGCGACGCGGCGCCTTCGCGAAGGCGCTCGTGGCCCAGCCGAGCCGGGCAGAGGGGCAGGGGCGCCC